CTTGTTGCAGCATTTCAGACTATTTCACTATGCAATTGAAAGATCTGCGAACATTGCACCTCTGCAACCGCATTGTCATAGTAACGTCATCGGCAATGAATGCTCTGAATCGAAGTCAAGATTGACAATGCATGGTCTTTACGGATGAAAGCAAGTTTTGTTTGTTTAGAGTTGATGGCAGACAGCGTGTTTACCGTCGCAGATGTGAATGGACAGCTACTTGCTGTGTTCAAGAAGTCGTTCCTTACGGTGGAGGTTGCGTTATGGTGTGGGGTGGAATTTGTGGAGACCAGACAATGCCCCTCTTCGTCATCAGTGGAAACCTCAATGCACAACACTATAGAGATGACATCCTATGTCCAGTAATGCTGTCCTACCTCCAGCAAGTACCCCGAGGTGTTCTGTACCAACACGACAACGCCAGGCCCGACACAGCTCGTATCGTAGTGGACTTCCTTGCCAACAACAACGTCAACGTCTTACCGTGGCGGGCATGTTCTCCTGACTTATCACCCACAGAACACCTCTGGGATGTTTTGGACAGGCAAGTTGCATGTATGCATGCACTGGGTGGCCACATGTTTGTATGAATTGCAGTGAAAATCTGGACAACTGAATTTTCAACTTCCATGGATTTTGTTTGTCTGGTGTACAATATTTAACCACAAAATGTCAAGTTTTTGTGGAATTGTTTGTTTATCAAATATACTTTACCTCAAACTTTTGTTATTTTTAGTTTATTAATTACAGTCACTTCAATCTAGTGCAAAGTTGCTTTTGCCGCTCAGTTTATGTATTTATATATCATTTTTTTTAAAAGATGTAGTTGTCTGAGGTATGAAGGATTTATGTTTAGAGTCATAACATGTCAAATACACAGGCTGAGATTGAACTGTCTTTCCTGTTTAAGTCATCTATGTATACTGTTTACATCAAACAGAATGAATATATGTTCAAAAGATTCATGTCAAAATTACATTCCAATCTCTCAACAACCACGTAATTATTCTTTGTAACATAGTCACAGCATTACTCAAACATACATTCCTCTTTCTGAGATCTGATCTTTATCTGATGAGGAAATTAGACAAGCTTGAAACATACATTAGAAATGTTAATTACCTATGTCAGGTTCAGGCCTGTCATTATCAGCTGTCAATGTTCATTAGACCTGTGATATACATACCAGTGTACATTGTAGGTGGCACCAATCTTGCTAAATAAGCTGTGCAGGTAATTGGAGACACTATAGGACTATAATTTAGTGATTCAGTTCAGAAACATTACAAACGAACCATAGTCAGATGTGAATGACTGTTCAAATACCTCGTGTTCAACCAGCCAACATCACTAATAATCATGTCCAGAGCAGGATGAAATTGACATTCAGAAAGCTGATATCAGTCATCTTAGATGATGATGATGATGATGATGATGATGATGAAGGTGATGAAGAAGGTGAAGAAGATGATTAAAGATGATGGCAATTCAGTGTATTCATTTGCACACATTTATATAGGAATGTCAAGACACTCCATTTTCATGGGTTTAAAACATGGACTGTTAGATAGGCATTACTTAGAAGTTGACGGATGACAAAGTAGACACAATTTATGGATAACAACTTCTTTAAAGGTGATGTTTCGGTATAGATCATTATTTCGTTGTCAAGCAACGGTATAAGGATCTATACCGAAACGACGTTTTTATAGTGAACAAAGAAGTTGTTACCCATAAATTGTGTCGACTTTGTTGAACAGCATGAACAAAACTCCTGTTAAAGCATTATTCCACCAAACAAGAAAGAACATGCACTCATTTCTAAGTTGCTGTGGTATTCTAAGAGATCAATATTTCCATAGTTTCTTCCTCCTTCTGTTGCCATCATTTACAAGCCTTTATCGACAAGGACTTAACAACACCACCATACCAGAGCTGTAATATTGCTGACTGTAGTAGCAGAAAACATTCACTCACTTCAAAACCAGGTTTCCTTGATATGTATTCCTTTAACAAATCATATGCCTAACAAAAATATCCTTATTCCTAATCCTTCCTTTCTAAAGTAACACATAACATATATTTTGGTACTAAACCCATAATCATTTCAAATATGCTTATTCCACAAATTATTTAGATCCTTTTATTGTAATAAATCCTTTCTGCCCTCTGGTGGGGTCAACCTTCAGGTATTTGCTTTATTCAGTGAACATGATCGGGGCATTCAACTATGACCACAATAGCACTGGCCTAATCCTAGATGTGGGTCACCCTACTGGAGCTGTTGTAGACCTAAGGATGGGAAAGTGGGGTGGGATGCATCATGGAGGGTGTTTAGGTGGGGGTGGGGATGATTGTCTGTGGGAGTTCCTGTTCCTAAGGGACATGTCTCGTTCCCTGATGCTCTACAGGATTATCTACAACAGGATTCTATGATGTTCTACACCGGATTCTCCATAAGGTTCTCCAATGCTCTATAGGATTCTCTGATGCACTACTGGATTCTCTACAGGGTTCTCAGATGCTCTACAGGATTCTCTGATGCCCTACAGGATTCTCTACAGGATTCTATGATGCTCTACAATATTCTCTGATGCTCTACTGGATTTTCTACAGGATTCTATGATGCTCAACAAGATTCTCTACAGGATTCTCTGATGCTCCAGAGGATTCTCTACAGGATTCTTTGATGTTCTACTGGATTCTTTACAAGGTAATCCCATGCTCTACAGGATTCTCTTATGCTCTACTGGATTGCCCTACAAGGTTCTCTGATGTTCTACTGGATTCTTTACAAGGTTCTATGATCTTCTACTGGATTCTATACAGGATTCCCTTATGCTCCACATGATTATCTACAGGATTCTATGATGCTCTACTGGATTCCCTACAAGGTTCTATGATGCTCTCCTGGATTCTCTACAGGATTCTCTGATGCTCCAAAGGATACTCTACTGGATACACTTAGGCTCTCCAAGGTTCTCTGCACATTTATCTGATGCTCAATATGGATTTCTCTGATCTGATGCCCTAGACAGCATTGTATGTCTCTGAACAAGGTTTCATGATTTTTGAATAATTTTCACAATGGTTCTCAGGTAATCTACATGGTTCTCTGATGCAATAAAGGATTCTCTGGTGCAAACAGAATAACTGGTTAAATTAGTTTTAAACAATTTCATGAAAAAGACTAACATTTTATTATTTCAAATGTACAAGTCATTTGTCCAGTAGACAAGTATATTCATCAAATCCTGCCTTATCATTTGGTAAGAATAGCTACCAGTCCTACAAACAGGTTGTCGTGGTCTCTTTAACCACCCAAACTAGAGAAAGGTCTTCCTGTGTTTATTCACTGTTGGATATAGGTTTTAACTGAATGAAATTACTGTCTGTTGTAATATTTGACTGAATATAGGTCATCTGAGTGCTTGACTGTGCTGATGTACTGGGTTTAAAACTACATTTCATGAGTGCTGGTATATGAATAATGACAACCAAGAAATTGCTGTCTGAAAAAAGGATTTCTCCAAGATTAAGCAACAGCTTTAAAATTAGACAAACTGCCTCTGGCTATAGGCCCAGATTTGACATCATCCCCAGTGAATTTCTTTATAGACCATGATACAGTTGTCAGGTTCTGAACATTTGAAGAAAATCTTTTATTGATCAAAATTAAAAAGAGTGATAATCCCTTTGTGAAAACAAATTTATAGTTTGATCACAGACATAAAACCCAAATCCCACATCCTTACAACAAAATCTCACATTACAAGAAAACCTAAGATACACACAGCCCGCATTTACTCACAAAAAACATTATCATGACACACAAGAAAATACCTCTTTTTTACCCTATAACAACAATATCTCACACCCTACCACAGATGGCCACATCCTTAAAACCATATCCTACAACAAAATAACAATCCCATTTTCTGCCCTAAAATAACACTATCTTAATCCTACTCCAAAATATCAAAATCCCACATCCCAATCCAACACAAGTCCCCATATATATGCATTCTTCCCCCATACACATCCAACATAAATCAGTTCTCTTTTGGCTTCACAAACAATCCCCTATGTCATTTCCTCTTCCAAGAAAAGGATATACCTTTCATGCCAATACAAACAAATCTTTTTATAGCATAAAAATGTTCATAGCCATCCTATCTGTTATATAAAATATCAACACTGTTTACAGCAATGGCAACATTCACCATGATATATGGGTCAGATACATGTTACTCCCCAATCTCAACCCTCCCAACCGCAAGACAGTCAGCCACTCAATAAATTTGCACCATCAACTGATTTGTTGGAGATCTTGATTTAATCTGCTTGACAGCAAACTCTGCTATTGCTGTATATTGTCAATTTTTTTTAAATCGTGACATCCCGATTAAATATACACTGCATTCATGTTTTCTCGTAGCACTACACTGTAAATTTGTCTAAGGTCTGACCTACTCTGTTTACAGACTCTCTCCTCCCTTCCCACCTATTCAGGCAAGGGGCCCACATCCCTTATCTCAGCTGGAGCCAAATTATACGATCATCCCTCTCATGTCTTTACAACCATAACCCCCCTCTCTCTTGTGCAAATGTCCGAAATAGTTTTGTACGAATGTATGTTACAATGTTTCGAGAAAGCCTTATAGTCCCTCATTAAAACCAAGCTAGCCACACTCCTTCGTACAAGAGCTCGTGCTGAGACCCCTAATCAGTAGGTAAACAGGGGGCTGGTCACTTTTTAAGACACACTTCATAATCCTTACACATTTTAACCTTAAATGTATATAGATAATAAATGGAAGAAACATGAACGTACGATCTAACACAAAACAGACGAGACAAGATATCTGGCGTTTCTGTGACATGATCACTGCGAGCAGAAGACACCAGAGGATAGCAGACGACTCGTGCGTGTCCATCGAGCAGACGAGAAAACACCTGTCGTCTGTCATGAAATTTTCACTGAAATGTTTTCAGCTTACCTTGTATAGACTCACCCATGCTGTCATCTACCGAAAAATAAATCCAAAACGAAATCTGTACACGGGTATATCCTATGCACCTCCTCTAACGTTAGACCTGTCACATATCCCTGGTCTGTTCATCAGCGTATGACATCTCTCATGAGAAGCATTGAAAACAAGTTGTACAGCCAAAGAGGATTTCCCAGCGGCAGAGCGCCCTCTCGCGGCTACCGTAGTAAGCTACCCCGAAACTGGCCCGACAGGTGCCCTAACTGGAGAATAGATATCTCTCAGCTCTATCATATGTCGACAGACGTTTTGGGGGCATTGTGGTTTTCTGTCCTGTAGCAAAGTTCGTCTTCCACTATTGCTGATATTCGATCGCTGGTATCTAGGCCGCTCTCGGGACTGAGTGTAAATAAAAACTTAAGATGACAGGAGATCTTTGAAACTTGGAGAGATTTCTCCCGAATTACATGCATACGTGTCAACAACACGCATGTACTCCTGTGAAGTGCGAGGGAGAGGGGAGATGGAAATACCCATCTGGTCGAAGACAACACGTTCTCTCATTAATGGATTTATCACATCGCGATGAAGCACGTATGCGCGTCCTCGTTGTATGCGCCTGGAAGATATCCAAGATTGTGTTTTTGAAATATTTGAATATTTTAACTGGCAATGTGTAACTTTAAACGCTGACATATTTTAATCATATATTATTTTCTACTAGCGAGTGTTAACGCTAGATTTACTTTAATTGCATGCGTCTGTTTACTCTGCACACCTGACAGGCTATTGTTTGACAAACTAATTATAAGGAGAATTTAATTATCAGGAGAAGCCAAATGAAAAATGTTTTGTGGAAAGGTCGGTACATCCTCTATATCTCCAGGGCTAGTATTTCAGTAAACCGAAATGCCGAAATGCTAGCCTTGGTGATATAGAGGATGAGCTACATAATGGGGACATTAAAGGCAGACCAGTGACTGATAGCATGAGCATCGACCCTCTACTTCTTGGAACGAAAACACACCATGAGGCAAGTTAAGATGTATTTTGAGAAATGTTACATCTGTCGATCACTTCAAGTACTGTATCGACAACAACCACGACGACTTGTACTGATAACTTATATGAAGAATCTTATATTCACCTATATGTTTGTTTGTTAGGTTTGTTTAATGATGGCTTAAACTGTTCAACTTCTGAATACCGTGACCGCGTGTGTGTTTATGAAAGATTATTTACAGGAAATGCTATGAACATAAGTTTTAATAGATAAAAATGTTCCCCCTAAAATCTGAACCATTAATGATATTGTCATTCGGTTTAAGGTTTTATGTGGTAGAGCTTTTCCAGCCTGGTTCCCTGGGTATGCAGCATACCCAGGGAACCAAACTTGAGCTTTTCCAGGACAATTGTTTTTAGATATTATTCATGTGAACATGTCGTTTGAAAGGTGGACACATAAAGCAAATATATTACTTTTGTTCGTCATTCTTAATCAGTATTATTTGTCGCTTAATGGTTGGTATGATTTGTGTTAATAACAGAATTGCTAATGGTTGATATGTCATCAACTGAACAGCTACAGATCGAAAGCAAATCTGCGGTCGTACCGGGTTTTAGCATCTCCAGCCTGTTGTTGGTCGGGCAGTGTTTACAACACAATTGAGTCAATATGCATCTATAGTGCAATAGCGCCATGTGTGACCGAACCTGGAATCAATGCTGGGAATCACAGTCGCACCCACCTGCGAGGAACCGCGTTTAGTAAATGCTGGCCACTTCCTGTGTTGTTCGGACTGTATGTATAAGCATACAACTTGCTTATTGTGAGTTTTTAAATGTATAGTTTCAGTGTCATCAGTTCTGCCTCTGAGGTCGACTTTTTTTGTTCTTTGAAATACCACGGCGTCAATTTTAGGTTTGGAATTAGAAATGTGTGCAATCGAATCAATATTTGACCTTGTTTATGGCAGTTTATTTATGTTTTGTTTATTTATAGTATATTCATTTATAAATTGTTTATTGTTTGACGCCTCACTCACTAAACAATATTATGACTGTAAAGTGACGGCGGCGTGTAAATAACCAGGGCCCACTTGCACAAAGCGATCTTAGCGCTAAGATGATAGTAACTCCAATACTTTAACATAGGCTTACAATAGTATCAGCGCTAAGGTTGCTTTGTGCAAGTGGTCCCAGCTGCAAACCAGTGATTGACGTCATGTGCAACGCCCACGCCCCACGCCCCACGCCTCACCTAGAGTACGATGGCACCCATTCAACCAGGTATTGGGCATGACCACCCAATCTATTAAGTCGCCCCTTTCAACAAGCCTAAACTGATGATAGGGCCATGCGATTCCTATCGGGAACTTCCACTAGAGATAAACAAATAAGTATACGTTATTATCGAGCACTGTGTTAACTCGATGTATGGTGAGACAGACATTTTATTTTGACTTATCTGGTGTCGATACAAGCGGGTGTATGAGTCGGTCGCGGAGACATCGAGATTACACTTCAAAGAGAACGGTTACCGTCACTAACATATTTCTTCATAATCAATCTGTGACAAGTACTATATGACCACTTATGTCTGTCGTACTAACTCCATAAACTTGTCCCGTGCAGACACCAGGGGTGTATATAGCACACCGGGGCCATGTGTTTGTCATGAGGGTCGATTATCATAGGGCTACAATGTGTGACGGAGATATGAGAGACGTCGATGTGGCGTAAAACCCAACTCACTCACTCACTGGCCTGGAAGATCGTGTGACATTGAACCAAGACTGAGTGGCTAGATGTTCAAACTATCGATCACGGGTTTTAAGTCCACGCTGAGGAATTTAGATAATATAGCTATGTTGTTGCTGACTTGCGTGAAACACTGTCCGACTTGCTGTAAATGTAGTGCACAGAAACAATCTTAAAAGCCTCTATTATCCAGAGTATTAAATCTCCATTATGTAATGGTCTAGAAATAATCGAGTCTGGACCAGACAATCCAGTGATTGACATCATCAGCATCGATCCACGCAATTTGGCGACGATGACATGCATCAACCAGGTCACCAAGCCTCACCACCCGATCCCGTTAGTCGACTCTTACGACAAGCCTGGGTTGCTGAAGACCAATTCCAACCCGTATCATTCTATTATGACAAATACCTCGTATCAATCGGATCCTCGCGATATGGGCCCGCTATGCGTCCAGTTCGAAATGAACGACTCTGAAAATAGCTGTCCAAATCAAAGTGCACCAATGAGCGAGAAGAAATCTCTGCTAAGCATGATAAGAGAAATGGAGATGTGACGTCATGTCCGAAACAAAGCTTTGGTGGAGGATGGATCAAGGATGATCTCATAAAAAATAAACTTCATCGTCGACGATGGACACACATAATTACAAACAAAGTAATATGTAGTGTCCATATCATACACTAGGTACATAAATTCTCATATTTCCCCAGCTTCACATGACGTCACAAACCGTATGACCTCACGACTACATTGCATCATAACCCTAAAGCTACATCTTTGCACAACTTATAGTAAGGTTGCCCTTGATGGCAATAATTTAATGTAGCATATAACACATACGAAGTAAACAATGCAGAGACATATTTTTAATTTATTAGAAAGAGAAAGACATTTGAATCCATACGCTACAAACCTATGATCGGGGGTTCGAATCCCTATACGCCCCGATTGTGTTTCTAGGTTTGTTAGCACAATACCCGCAAACGTGGGATACACCAAAGTGGTACACGACTGAGACCTGCATCACTGCGGGCTTTCCTCACACATTAAGCTTGCACGCCGTGATATAGCTGGAATACTGTTCACAGCAGCGTTAAACCCAACTCACTGTCTCACTCACCTATGTTGAGGAATCACAATGTTAAATGAACTATAGGGGCCTAGGGTCGGGTAGCCTAGTGGTTAAAGCGTTCGCTCGTCACGCCGAAGACCCGGGTTCGATTCCCGACATGGGTACAATGTGTGAAACCATACTCACTCATTAAATGAACTATTAAATGAACTATTAAATGAACTATGAAGTACTATTTATACCATATCTTGCATTATTTTGCCACAGGTATCTATAGTATATTTAATGTTTTGGCTATAATCAATATTTTTATCGGGCTGCAAGATCCGGGTTAGAATAGGTCTTCAGCAACCCATGCTTGCCGTAAATGGCGACTATGCTTGTCGTAAGAGCCGACTAATGGGATCGGGTGGTCAGACTCGCTGACCTGGTTGATGCATGTCATCGTATCCCAATTGCGTGGATCGATGCTCAGGTTGTCAATCACTGGATTTTCTGGTCCAGACTGGATTATTTACAGACCGCCGTCATACAGCTGGAATATTGCTGAGAGCAGCATTAAACAACAAACAAACAAACAAAGCGTGGATGTATATACAGTATACCAATGCTTGTGAATGTCGTTGTACAGTAGTATTGACAAGTCGGACATGTTGATACATCACTGGTACTTAATCACCATAGTCCAATGGTCTGAACATATTAGTGTTTCATTTCGTAGAGATTAGATGGACCCAGCACGTCTATTTTGGTATCAAGTGCGTGGCTAAGGTTATTTACTTCAGTAAATATTAAAACAGACACACAAAAATCATATAGTCTCAGAAACTCTGAAAACATCACATGACAAAGACATTCGTGCGACTCCTTTTACCCATCGACTATCCAATTGTGGAACGATTACAAATTCTTTACAAAAGCATCATCGGACGTCACCTGCGTGCTTCACATGTGAAAAAAAGAAATAGAATATCTTTGTACATATATACAACACTGAGATACATGAATTATGATTCATAAATAATGTGTATAAAAGAATACCCAAACTGTACGTGTTCAAATATAATATACATGTGAAAATGCATATCCATATCTCATTGAATGTACATTGTTTCATCAGCGTGTTATTATGTTTAACAGCCCTTCTTCTTTTTCCTCTTCTTCTTCTTCTTCTTCTTCTTATTATTATTATCATCATCATACCGTCTTCGCCATGCTAGTGGTTTTGACACAAGAGGTCCATCTATGGTGCGACCCAGGCCAACAAACCTGATCTTGTCCTTTATGATAAATCCAATGAAATCATTTATATCATTGAATTTTCTGTCCCTTTTGACGCTAATGTGATGGACAGGATTCAGGAAAAACATGGCAAATATGCAGACCTCGCTTTCGAAA